GAATCAATTATCTCTATTTTCAATCTATCTGCATATCTCTTCAATCAATCATCTCGCAGGCTTTCTCTGCCAGGTTTATGTACTAAAAAAGGGGGCGTCCTGAACACACTAGGAAATTCATGATAATTCGAGAAGCTCATCACGTGTTACCAGCGTCATATGAATTCAGCTGTTGTAACATTACCATGCAATTAAATATTATATGCAATGTTGAATCTTGTGTAAATACTTGTAGAATATCATAGTGTGAAATATTGTATACACTATTGAATCTTGTGTAAGTACATTTGAAATTTCATGCTTGCATTAAGAGTGTTTTTGATTTAACTAAAGAGCTCAATTCCCTACTTAAAGATCAATTTATTGTTAAACAAAGACAGTCATTCTTGAAACCTAACATTAAAAATAGACACATCCATCTCTTAATGAAGCCACATCTTTGATGATGAAACTCACTTCTTAAAGCTAACATCATGGTTGTGATGTACACGTAGTCACACTGTACAGTTACATTTTGAAGCTAACATTTTATACAATTACACTAGTTCTTAACCGATAATTCAGAATTAACAGAAGAAACGTTTTAAAACTAATGATTTAGTATCACAAATGAAACTTGAAAGTTCATATCCTCAACAAGTAGTTTAATTTTTTAAAGTATAGTAGTACAATACAGTAGTTGAACCTCACAGTTACATTCTCTACATAAGTGTACATTTAAATACAGCTTAAGGTTTACAAACAACTCAACCACGAAGTGATGCCAACGAGAAGCACGTTTGGATAGTGTGTGTGTAGACATAAATTCCTTATGTATCATTGCTCACACATAAACGTCTAGACATTGTATAGTTTGTTTTGTTTAAGATTATAACTACTGTATTGACTTTCTAGGAAATACTTGGCTACAAACAGAATGTATGGAAGAAATATTTCTTCTGGCTATTCGGTTTAGCAACTTTGGGATTTTTTTGCCTTGTTGTGAAGTGGAAGCCAGAGTGGAAAATCTGGAGCACGTGTGTGGCTTGTGATTTGGATATTGCTGACACTGTGATAGTGAAGGTGTGAAATAAGTATTAGAGATTTTTTTGTAATCTGCCTTATCTAGACCTAGACATTTTACAGTGTAACTTTCAGGGCTGATATCATCATCGAGGTATAAATTATAACACAGTCTCACACTTAACAAGTACCTACTAAACTCTTTGTTTTCTTTTTCAAAGGAGTAACTTCCACCAGATTTTCTGTTCCTTACATGTTATGTCATATCAGCTGTGTTTGTACCGTCTAATGTACAGGGTGTTCCAGAAGTCTAGACCCGTATGGTAAATAGACATTATATTCTTATAGTTCAACAATAATAATGTCTAATGTCAGTTGTACATATTTCAGGAAATAAAATATCCTGATGTCACAGTATACCTAGAATTGAAATGTGTATGTCTGTTAATGAATAATAAATACATTAAGAATACATTGTGTATTTTCCCTTATGAGTCCTTACTTCTGGGACACCCTGTACTTAGGTAACAGATTCTCTGTATTCTTGTTTTCATACTGTTTTTACCGTTTACTACAACCAGGCTCTCTGTA